GGGTGTGTGCTGGGCATGTGCTGGGTATGTGTTGGGCATGTGCAGGCATGTGTGGGTGTGTGCTGGGCATGTGTGGGTGTGTGCTGGGCATGTGCGGGTGTGTGCTGGGCATGTGTAGACAGGTGTGTGCGGGGTATGTGCTGGGTGTGTGCTGGGCATGTGCTTGGTATGTGCTGGGCATGTGCAGGCATGTGTGGGTGTGTGCTGGGCATGTGTGGGCATGTGCTGGGCATGTGCGGGCATGTGTGGGTGTGTGCTGGGCATGTGCTGGGTATGTGTGGGCGTGTGTTGGGTATGTGCCGGGCGTGTGAAGGCATATGTGGGCTGTGCTCCCTGAGCTCTGGCAACAAGGAAGCAGCTGTGTTTGGGTGCAGGGAGTGAGGGGGACAGTATGCACTATCCTGACACACATGGGGCCCCTTCTGATCCTCCCAACTCACGTTTAGTCCCCAGATATTCACAGCCTGTGTGGTTGCTGATCTCAGCCCTTCCAGATGCCACTGGTAAGGAAGACAGGAATGGGGGAAGGGCCAGGGATGTGGCAGAACAAGACTTGCCACTACTGTCCATCTCACATGTCACCCACGCACAATAGGAGGGCACCTCCCAAGCTCCCAGGGTGCATGGAGAGAGAAGAGCCGCACACAGATTACGAGGTCTCAGGGGATCGGGCCTGGACAGGTGCTGCAGGTTGACCAGACAACCGAACCACCTAGGAGCCCAGAGGAGGGAAGGCTGAGGTGGGCCTGAGGTCAGGGAGTTGGGAACTGGGCAGGTCAGGGAGGAGGCTGCGCGGTGGGGCCTGGGAAAGGCCGGAGCCAGGTCGGGTGTAGGGAGCACAGGGGGCTGCTGGCCTGAGAGGTGCAGCCACTCCCACCAGGGGCCAGCTTGGACCAGTTAGCTAACAGCGGTCCTGATGTGGTGGAATGATCTCTGCAGGCCCTAGGATCTCGCTGAGGGGAGGAGAAGGGGAGGGGGGCACTCTAGCCATCCCAGGAGCTTCCTGGGACGCCAGACGCTGACCTGCCATTGTCTGCCCGTGCAGCGCCTCCTCCCTCTACTAGAAGCGGGTGTTTCTCAAGGTCCTAGCTCATACGTCCCTGGGAGGTTCAGAATCACCCTCTTTGTGCCATTTCTCTCTCTAAGAAAAGCTCGAAGTGGCCGCTATAGCTGAATGAACTGGGGTCCTTTAAGAGCCATTGCTTAGAAGGCATTAGATTTGTGATTGTTTTACTTTAAATCAGTCTCTCTAGCAGCAGGTTGCTAACTCAGCAAATCCTGCAGCAGCTGCGTGAGGTGTGCAAGGGAAGGAACTGGCAGACCTGGCAGCCCGTGGTCCCGGCCCCTCTGCAGGTTGATGGACGCCAGATCCAAGGTGCTGGAATTGGACAGCACAAAGAGCCTTTCCGTCAGTTCCTCGTTCATCAGCTGATCCTGCACCTGCAGTTTGGCTGGTCTCGCAAGAAGGCCTCGTATTAGTGGGTCCAGACCACCTGGAAAATACCACGTGCAAGGCAAGGACAGTTCTCGGCTCAGTTCTAGAGAAACAACAATATCTCAATCTTGTCCTTAGCAAATCTGTGTGTAAGTTCATGAATTCCGCTTGTGTGATCCCAGAGTTTCCTGAATGTCCTCAGGACACTGCCCTTGCCGGCGGGTGAACCACTGGGCTGGCACTGACGATGTGGCTCATGGGGGATGGACCCTCAGAAAGAAAGGGGCCTGGAGAAGGAGTCCACCAGTTTTTAAAGCTTTTTGTTTTGTTTCTTAGCAACAGAAAGATTACAAAAAAAAGAAGCATTTGCTGAATTCTAACATCCAGAACAGTGAAAGGAAGACTCAGCTTAGCTGAGGGAGTGGCCAGGGTGCCTGGGGACCACTGTTCCTGTCATTTCCAAAGGCCCCGTGTGGAAAGCAGGCCTCACCGCCTGTCAGGGTCCCTCTATCTCAGTGGCGTGTGAACCCACCACTGCATGCCACCAGTCTTTAAAGTTTGGCCTTAGGATGCCCAAAAGGAAGACCTAGGAATCACAACGTGCATCGTCCTGTGTGGGATGACCTGGGTGTCTTCAAATGCCAGGCACCTGCTGAGGGCCGGGCCAGCCCCTGCCTCTCTGGTGCACTGTGCATGACTCAGCTCTCATCTAAGCAGGTATCGCCAGACACACTGCCACACCCCTGCCCTCCCCACTCCCCACTACACCTGGAGCCGGTCAACTTTTGAGTCAGGTTAGGAGCTCCCAGAAAGACACACAGAGTACTGGGAAAGGAACATAAAGAAAAAATGGGGAAGCTTAAAAATAACCCTTCCAAAAAACTAATTGGGGGAATAGGATCATTTTCTTCCAAATAATTAACTTCCAAAGGTAACCCATCATTAACATTCTAAAGATGAGGGTGCTGATCATAACTATAGAACAGTTTAGCCTTTTATTTTTATTTTATTTTGAAACGGATTTTCACTCTGTTGCCCAATCTGGAATGCAATGGCAAGATCTCGGCTCACCTGCAACCTCTGCCTCCCGGGTTCAAGCGAGTCTCCTGCCACAGCCTCTCGAGCAGCTGAGACTACAGGCACCCGCCACCACGCCTGGCTAACTTTTTTTTTTTTTGTATTTTTAGTAGAGACAGGGTTTCACCATGTTGGCCAGGCTGGTCTCAAACTCCCGACCTCAAGTGATCCACCTGCCTCGGCCTCCCAAAGTGCTAGGATTACAGGCATGAGCCACTGTGCCCGGCCGCAAAAAAGTGTTTTGGGGAAGGTTGTACATTTTATATTCAC